CATTTACCAGCGAATGATAACATTTCGTTCTTCTTCATGGCTGCATAAAATTCCATTGTGTATAGATACCACATTTTCTTAATCCATTCGTCAGTGGTGGGACATCTTGGCTGTTTCCATAACTTGGCTATTGTGAATAGTGCCGCAATAAACATGGATGTGCAGGTGCCTCTGGAGTAACAGTCTTTTGGGTATATCCCCAAGAGTGGTATTGCTGGATCAAATGGTAGATCGATGTCCAGCTTTTTAAGTAGCTGCATACTAACTCTTTACGTCAGGGAGACAGGGCCTCAAGACAGACTTCTGAAAATGGGTCAGCTCAGAAGTCACCGCATACAGAATTCTGTGAGACAGTTTCTTCCTGTCTCACCAGCAGTATGCATGAGTCCTGTTTCCCCACAGGCTCACACACAGGATGTGGTGTCAAGTGATAGGATTTTTGCCTATCTGATAGATGACACCATGTTACCTCATCACAGCTTTTTAAAAACTCAACTTTGCTGGGCTACTGTTTAGTACAATACCACGCATCCATTTGTCATGAGCTACTTTCTGTCACTGGGTTTCATGTAAATGAAATCATTGAGTATGTGGTCTTTTGTGTCAGGCTTGTTTTTAGCTGTGTACGAGGAGATGTTCTGAAAGACGTGTGTGGTGAAGTGATGACAACAGCCGTCCCCAGGTGTGCGCGGTAGGAGCACATGGCAGATTCCCAGGACACAGTGCACCATGAGCGGCAGTCCTCAGCTGCCTGTGGTCTGTGGCTGACTCACGCTACCAATGCAAGTCTGTGCATTTGACCAGCATTGCTTTGCTCCTCCTCTCTTCTTTGGGCTTCTTTGACTCAAGGTGGAGATGCCGGGGTCAGCACACATTGTCCACTCCATCAGCAGTTCGTTCCTTTGATGGCTGGGTGGTATTCACGCATTCCATTCCTGTAACAAACACCCACAATACTCAACTTAGAAAGAGAAGAGGGTTATTTTGGCCCAGTTTTGGAGGTTTCAGTCCATGGTTAGGTTGGCTCTGTTGCTTTTTTGTGCATGGCAGAGCAAAATCCCTCACCTCTTGACAGGGTTCCCACTATCCCCTTCTAGGCAACACCCCCAGTGAATGAAGGACCTTCCACTTAGGCAAAGCCTCTAACACAGGGGCCTTTGGGGACATTCCAGATCCCTGCTGCATTTCCATTTATGGAATATTCTAGCTTATTTCCTTTTTCCTATGGATGAACATTTGAACCAATTCTAGTTTGTACGTCCTGGGGCTAAAGCTGCCATGCATATCATGCCTCTCTTTGACTTGGGTTCTTCCTTCCTAGGAAGTACAGGAGGGGAGAGGTGGGTCACATGGGAAGTACACAGGGAACATGTTGCACCTTTTTCCAAAGCAGCTTTGCCACTCTTCAGCCCCATCAGCAGTGCCACTACATCCATCCTCCCGGACGCTTGGGCTGCCATCTTTTCAGTTGGAGTGACTTGAGGTTCGGAGTGCAGTGTCCCTTGGAGTTTCTGGTTTGTCTTTCCCTGAGGATGAAGGATGCTGGGCTCCTTATCTGGTTTTTATTGGCCTAACTTAGGTTTCCTCCCATATGAACTGTCTGTTCAAATCTTTTGCCCATTTTTAGGAAATCGGTTGTCTCTCTAAGCTGTAAGATTTCTTCATAAACAATAGATACAAGTCCTTTTTATATATAGTAAAGGTGCTTTTTCCTAGTTCATGTCTTGCCTTTTCATTTTCATAGTGGAATTTTTTAAAGGCCAGATGTTTTAATGCTTGTGAAATGCAAAACATCTTTTTCCTTATTGTGGCCTAAGAAATTTTTATATTTCTCTTACTGTAAGGTTAAGCATGTTTTCTTATGGCAAAGGGCCAGTGCCTGTATTTGTTTGTGAACCGTCCATGTCTTTGGCCTTTTTTTTAAGGTCAATCTAATGGTCTTTCGCCTCTGGACTTCCACGAGTGCTCTGTCTGTTGGGGAGAGTGGTAGCCTTTTAGGGTATGTTGCAATGATTTCTCCCAGTTTGAACTTTGTCCCTTTTACTTTATTATGTTTCCCATTCAAAATTGTGTGCACATGTTCTGTAGGATCCCGTGCAGGCATTTTTGTTGCTTATAGATCCAGTCACAGAATTGCCCTGCTACCCCCCAGTTAAGGACTTACCTGTTTGCATCCAGTATGCTTATGGCTTCACTTAAAAAAAGATCTCTGTTCCATTTGGAGCTGATTCTGATTTAAAAAAGCATAGACTCAGTTTTATCTTGTTTCAAGTGATTATCCAATTGTCCTTGTGTCACTTACTAAAAAGCCCATCTTTTGCTAATGATTTGAGATCCCATTCCCCAGACCGTTATTAAGCACTAGATTCCCTCTGTGCTGGGGCTTTGCATCCTCCCGGGTCTGGGCTCCTCTGTGCGAGTGGCCAGCTGTTGTCATGGAGACACAGCCCTCTCTAAGCTCATTAGCCATGCGCGCACAGAGCAGGGCCCTCGCTGCCCTTCTGGAGGTTTTCCTAGGTATTCCTGCTCACACATTACTCCACATGAACTTTAGAAGGAGCCATTCTAGCTAGAGAAACAATACTTGTTTCTGTAAAATGGAGATTGTTAAATGTATATACACACTTGGGAAAAGTGGACATCTTTATTGTTGTTGAACTGTCCTATGCAGAAACAATGGGGGTTTCTCACTTGCTCAGTTTACCATTGTGTCTTTCTTAAAGTAGAATTCTTGTGAGGCCCATTACAGGACTATCGTTTTTTTGGAAGTACTGGGGTTCAAAGTCAGGGCCTCACACTCGTTAGACAAGTGCTCCACCTCTTGAGCGATGCCCCAGGGGCCTTCTTATATTGGTTATTGTTAGGTATGGTCTTACTTCATGCCCAGACCGACTGGACCCTGAATCGTCCCACTTGTGCGCTTCCCCATATGTAGATGGGAAAGACAGGAGTGTAGCACTGTACACAGTCATTGGTTGAGATGAGGTCTTGTGAACTTTTGAGGTTTTTTTGCCTGGGCTGGTCTCAAACTGCAATCTTCCCATCTCTGCCTCCCAAGTAGCTAGGAGTGCAGGCTTGAGCCACCACACCTGGCTTGTTGAACTGTTTTGAAGGACTTTTTTTTTCCATATTAAGTTTTGTACATTTGATACTAGGTTTACTCCCTAGCAGTTTTTTCTAGCTCTTAGAATTCATCTCTTTCACACTGCTTTTAAAATGGGTGATGTTACTCAGGGCTGTCACTTACGAAAGAGTTGTCTTTCATTTGTATCCGTCTCAGCATGGTTTCCAGGTATACTCCCGTATCCCACAGGCAGGTGTGAGGAGCAAAGGGGGAGTATTTGCTCCAGGTCTACAAGGTGCATGGCATAGGGAGGGATCCATAAATGTGTCAGAATGGGCAAAGTGGCTGAATTGTGTTGCTACCCACCCTGGTGGCTTGGTCTCCCCCATTCACTTCAGATCCAAGAGGTCAGATCCAGGCTGGTGTGCCTGGGAGGCAGAGATAGGAAAGATAGTGGTTCGAGGCCAACCTGTGCAAAAAAGGTTAGCAGGACCCCCATCTCAACCAATTATCTAGGTGTGGTGGTGCACATCTATAATCCCAGTATGTGGGAAGCAGAAGTAGGAGGATTGGGGGTGGTATGCAAGACCTTATCTGAAAAATAAGCAAAGCAAATAGGGCTGGGGGCATGGTGCAAGTGTTAAGAGAGTCTAACAAATATGAAGCCCTGAATGTAAACCCTAATACTGCCAAAACAAGGGGAGGGGGGTTGGCCTTCCACACGTACCTTTGTCAGAGATGCTGCCCTACCTTACACAGCTGAATTCCACCCTGCAGGCTGGGGACTAGCTTGGTGGTCAGCTGGACCCAGAGGAGACAGTCTGATGGAACACGTACAGGTCACTAGTTACCAGGCCTTCTTTGTGCAGGCACCAGAGGTCCACTCTGCCAGTCCTTCCTCCTGCCCACAGGCAGGGGTCTGTGTAGAAACGGAGGGGTGGCAGGAGGATGCCTACCACCTTTGGCCAGGAGCAAGGAAATTTCCTTCCCTTTGGATTTCTTTCCACATCCTTGACTTTGGAGGCCATACTGGTGATGAAGTTTACCCTGGCCAGTTCTCCCCACCACACACACACTGTTTCTTCTGAGTGCTCCTAGGGCTCAGGGGCCAGTTCCAGGGACTTTGAAAGTCTGAAGGCAGAGCTTCAAGGACCAGACCTCAAGGAAGCCCTGGGTGCAAGGGGCCCTCAGACCTGTTGTGGTGACCTGGGCTGCCTCCCTGGGGATGTTACAAGGGTCAGTGGGAAAGAGTGGAGGCCTATAGCATCACCCATCTCTCCCTCCTCTCCATAGTCACACTCTCAGGTCAGTTTGGGGAGTCCTGGGCTCCCGAAAGACACGCTGAAGCTGAGGAAGACACTGCTGTCCTCCTCAAATCACCTCTAGGGCTGCTGGGGAGCTGCAGCCAGCTCCCTAGCTTTCAGCATCTAGCCCAGACTCCACAGTGGATGGTGACAATGAAGCAGCCTGCAGAGACAGCGAGAACTTTGCAGCCCAGGCTGGGCCTCCCATCCAGTGCACACACATTTCTGCTCTCCCAGATTCACCTTCAAGAGCATACTGGGCAAGACAACCAGGGCCATGGCAGGTGCTGCAGAGGCCAGGGTGAGAGCCTGCCTGGGGCCTGCCCGCCCCACAGAGGGTGAGGAGACTCGGCCTAGGCTGTGCACTCCATTTCCCTTCACATTCAGCTCCCCCACGGGCCTTGGATAAGGGAAATAACCTAAGGTTTGGTTCACTATACAAGAGATGGGTGTCAGTCCTCAGGGAAGAGGGAACTGTGAGGATAGGGGAACTGGCATGGAGGTGCACAGGGCCCCATTCTGCACGTGGGAGGGATTGTTCCTGTTGCTGTGGTAACTGTAGCTTGGAAACTGCCTCCATGGGCACTACAGGAAGAACCCGTTGGCTGAAATGTCTCCCCTTCTCTGCATAGATCTGGGACATGAGTGACGATGAGACAGTCTAAGACAACCACCCTTCTCCTGTGAGGAGCATTCGGACATCAGAGCAGGACTGCACCGAGGACTGGTGACGTGGGCCCTTCAACTTCCCTGGCCCTTCTCCACACCCTGATGACCAGGACTTTCCCTCTGTGGCCCTGCTGCGTCATCCTGCCAGTTCTGAGTTCAATAATAACCATAGCTTTAACATTGCCATTGATCTGGAGCTCAGTTCCCTCTATATGCAGTGATTTTTTTCTTTTCCCTTCTTTATTCCACACTCCTTATGCCTTGATTTCCAAGGGTAGTACTGAGGTAGTGAGCAGCTGGCCTCTACCAGACCAAATGGGGCAATGAGAAACCAGCTTCCACCAAGAGCCACAGTGGGGAGGCAGTCCCAGTGCTCAGGACACACCACACCATAGACTGGGCCAGGAAGAGGGACAACCCTTGCCTCAGCGCATGACAGCCAAGCCGCCCTGCATTGCCTGGATGGGCCTCCTGTCCCTGTGAGCACTGGAGGCCCAGAGAAGGCTGCCTTCCTCCCAGCACAAAAGGATCCTCCTGAGTGACTGTAGACTCTAGTGTAGGTGGCTACCTATCTTTGTGCAGTTCTGAGGTGCGGTGAGCTCCATATGGATCACTGAGATGAGGGCTGGCTTTTCTTTTCATGGCCTCTGCCCCTGGAGTGAGTGGCTCAGGAGCCAGAGGAATCCCTCCACACCTTCCTTCTTCTGGCTTCAGCTTTTGTCTGAAGTCCAGAAGCAAAGTCCCAATCAAGTCTGGGGCTGCCTCGCAGGACTGATGTAGGGAGACTTAAACTGGTGCTTGGCCTGACATTTCCCTCGCTCACATGGACCTTACACTGGCACTCCAGGACCAAGGTCACACGCTCACATGGACCTTACACTGGCACTCCAGGACCAAGGTCACACGCCAGACTGTGGTTTAAGAGCACTTTATTATTGTTCTTAAGGCTACTTTTAAGTACAAAAAAAAAGATGGCCTGCCAAACCTTTTTTTTTTCTTCTTCCAGGAAAAACAGGCCACAGAGAATGGTATATTACAGATTTACAAACACAGAGATGGGTCAGCATGCTCCGCGGATGGCTCGGCTCTGGGAGAACGTCCCCGGGTCCCCCTGCTCAGGCAGGGGACCTGCTGAACAATGATTTGTTTGGTTTTCCGCTGCCCCCTCTGCTCCTCCAGGGTACCACCTATCCCAGATAGGTCAGCGTACCGGGGACCCAGCCACCGGCACCAACATCCCCCTCCCCAGGTGATGAGCCCGTTCATTGACAAGGAGCATCCGGGGCACCTTCCCCACAGAGCCAGTGCTGCTGTTTTCCTGTTAGGACGCTCAGTAGCCTGTAGCAATAACAAGTAAGTGGCCATTACCGCAGATGCTGTGTCCTCAAAGAATAACTGTGTTCCTGCACGTTTACAGACGGGTCTACAACAAAAAAAAAGATCAACTTTTTTTTCCAAACAAAATAATGAATGATTACAATAGGAAAGGGAAAAATTAAATAGCTACATATCATTAACAAATTAATTGTTCTTCAAAAAATACCTACAAATTTCTCTGTACATTCTTTACGCACAGCGTAATGATGGTCTTAAAGTCACCTATATAAAAAAGTGTTCTCAACAGTTTTATTCCTACAGAAAATATAGGGGCCTGAATGCCAAAGCTTGGAAGCCCAGTACAGTGGGAGTGAAATGTGTGCGGGGCAGGAGGAGAGGGCTTTTCTGTTTTTTAAAAAAGGCCTGCAAGCCATCCTGTGACTACACCCAGGGCCAATTTCCAAAAATTTAACAGCTAACCTGTATTTTTCCTCCCGCTGAAAGCCAGCCCCAAGGTCTCCCATGTGCAGGAGTCCATAATGCTCCATGGGTGAGGTGGCCACACCTGGGTCACCAGGCCAGGTAAGGGCCTAAGGCCTCTAGCAGGCCAGGCCGGGTGCAGCGCACTTGTGGGGCAGGAGACAGAAATGCTCATGACCGGAGGCGTGGCCCGGCGCATCTGTCCGCTTTTTTCTGCCTCCTGGTTAGTAGCTATGACTACAGCAAACGATGGGCAACTGGAAAGTCAGAGGAATGTACACAGCCTTGGCCCAGCGTGCGTTCGCAATGTCAGCAACCTGTTGCTCAGTCAAGAGCGTTCGAAGGGAGCAGTCTGGAGTGAGGGTCGGAAGACTCAATTCCCACCTGCCCTGGGAGCTCATAATAAAGCAGCGGGGGACGCAGAAATCAGCTCTGCTGTCCGCCTGCGGTGCCACCCCACCAGCTCAGCCAGGGCTTACTCACAGTAAGCCCTGTGAGTGAAGTGAACATTGAATCAAATCATAGAGCACAACTGTACCAGCAGTGATATGGAGGACTGCAACTGATAAACATCTGAGAAGCTAATGAGCACTAGGGTTCGTGTCTACCGTCTACACAGTTAATAGAAACCAGCTATTTTTCTTCTCCGTTAAAATGTCACATTTGAAGCACTATGGAGTCCTCCGGCCTCGGCGCTAGTCTAACAAACTGCAGTGTAGAGAGAAGGTAAATGCCCGTGGTTGGTAGAATCTGCAGTCCAGTTGCAAGCACCTGAAATCTAGAGAGAAAGACCCATACATAACCTGTACACAGCTTCCCCTGCCAAAGCGGCTTGTCTAAACTCAACAACACAATCAAACGCATGGTCAGAAACGCCATTCTTGAGCCCTTTCTCAGCCCTCACTAGCACCTCACAGGCAGCTGCCCGTTCCTCCTCCAATAGTGCAAAATCAGACATGACAGCTCTCTTCAAGTATACACACGCACGCACCCTGACCAACCCCAACTGCACGCAGTGGAAGTGGAGCCGCGCACACCCGGATCTCGAGAAGCAAATGGAAGAAGCACAAAGCATCCGGGTCCCCACGTCACTATGGCTTGTGACTGAGAGCATGCCCCGGGATCCTAGCCCGGCGGGTGGCAGACCTGCAGCAGAGGATTCTTTGGTAACCAGGCAGGAAGTGAGGGTGCTATATGCAACCACTGTCCACACGCCGTTCCTGCTGCCACACTGGAGGGCCCCTTGTACGAACATCAAGCAAGTACAAAAACAGAACAGAACAAAAACCCCAACATGGTTTTTGCGAAGACACCATCCCCTCCCCTCCTCCCCCCTCCCCCCAGGACTTTTTGTTGTTGTTTTTTAAGCACTGTCTGTTCAAAGCTCAGGCAAACCATGCAGGTCCCTGTGGCATCAGAAGACGGCACCCCCTTCAGGAGACCACGGAGGGGGAGTGGCTGTGGCTGACCATGTGAGTAGAAGGGCTGGCCGGCTGGCCCCTGCGCGAGGCCGACTCAGGGCTGCTGGACGCGCCATCCTTGGCTGCTTTGATCTGAAGCCACGTGTCACCGAGAGCTTTGGCGAAGTGGTCATCCACGGAGCCTGTGATGGACACTGAGTTGGGTGCTGGCTCGGGCTCCTTGTAGTTCTTGCCCAGGCTTCTCCGGAAGTGCTCTTCCACCACCGGGTCACAGGTGGCAGCAGCTGTAGGGAAGCAGGGGAGCAATCAGTGGCTGTGCCTGCTGCACTGGTTTGAGGTGCAAGATTGGGGAAACCAATAGATTTTGTCCTCCCCACACTGGAGTGTGACACCCGAGCCAGTGCATTTCTTACCCCCTCCCCCCACAGCCAGTTCTGCTCAAAGGATTCTGTTTTCAAACTCAACACGAAGTGACCTCCAGGGCAAGGGGCTGCAGCCCACAGCTTGATCTAGGGACCTCAGATGCCAAGGTGGCTGGCGCAGTGTGAAACCCAGCACAGGACACTCACCACTGGGTGGCCTCCGGTAGCTGGTGGGCCCAGGCGCTGCACAGCCGCTGTGCGCAATGGGGCAGTGCGAGAGGTTGCAGTTGCGGGCACTGGCAGAGGCGCAGGTGATCACTGAGGGCCGGTTCTACAGAGGACGTGGAGGGTGAGGTGAGCTGCGTCCCCTCCCATCAGCCCACTTGACAGCACTGGGGTACCACCTCCCCCCTCACTTCCCACCTGCTGCAGCTGGCCTTTTCCAGAGCCCCTCCTGACCACACAAGGTGAAAGCCCAGCTCTTACATGTGCAGGAGGTTCTCAAGGGGTGCTTGGTTCCCTCCCAAACTGTCCTTTCTCTGCCCTGTGACTCTGGGTGCCTCTGTTTGGATCAGTGATGGACATGGGACAAAGAGTCCCATGGACTGTGGAGAGAGAGCTGATCTGTCTCCCTTTCTCAAATATGAATGGAGACAAACACTGTGAGGTGGGAACTGAGTCACACGGATGGCGGAGGAGGAACTCCCACCTCCTGCTAGTAAGGGCTGCAGGGCCTCTTGGACTCTGACTCCCATACGTATGCCTGGGTTTTCTACTCATGCTGAAGCCAGCTCAGGTAGAAGTGCAAATGACCACGTCACATACCGCAGGCCTTACCAAGCAGGCCTGTGCCATCGGGCTCCCTCAATCCCCCAACAACTCTACCTGCTTCACTTTCTCCCCTCCCCCACCAAGATGCAGCCAGTATAGCAGCAGGCACTCCTAGGAGACCCCTGCATCACTCCCCTCCTCAACCCTGGGCACAGGACAGCAGGACCAGACAGTACATCTGGACCCCAATGCAACACCTGGTGCAGTCAACATCTGCGAACGACCCTGAACCAGCCAGTGAGGAGCTGGCCTTGTCTGGCCAGCAGCAAGACACCAAAGGCTTGTATCCCAAACCTCCCACACTGGAAAAGGGAACATGAATGACAGTGTGGGTCTACAAGCCTGAAGCAAGATGAGATGTAAAGACACCGCATGCACCAATATGGGAAAGGACAGTTTCTGGTAAGCAGGGGCATGGGGCCTCCAGTGAGTTTCACCGGTCATGGTATGAGGAGAGAAAGGCAGGCCAACCGGGATCCAAAGCCAGCAAACTGCACAGGATCTTGGGCACAGGCCTTCACCATACAGCCAGGAAGAAGCTTAACAGATGACCACAAGGTGAGTGAAAGCCACGCTAAGCAGGAGAGGGGGCAGCAGGTCTGAGAACCTCTGCACCATCAGCCTTAAGTGAAAGCACGGATGTACAACCACCACCTCTGAGTCCTACCTGGGAGAGCCACCAGCTTGAGTCTCTCCTAGGGCCCCAGGCAGGGATTTGAGGTACTCATGTGGTACACTCACTCAATCCCCTCAATTGTGGAATAGGTAGGGAGGCCAACGTAAAGAGCAAAGACCAGACAGTGTGCACACTTCTCCCAATGAGCGGACCAGAGCCTCGCAGAGTCTAAGACTCAATCTTCAGAGAAACCGCCCGCACTTCACAGGGGACCACTATGGGGCTGTGTTCTCAGACCGCCAGGGGTTCCAATGAGCCCTACCCTTCCCTAGGGAGTTGTACCAGCAATGGCCAGAGGGCTAAGTTCCCAGGTCTTAGAAACACATTTCTTTTATACTTGTTCCTTTAGAGACCTCAGGGGTAGTTCTGCCCAGGTTCCTACCAGAACACAGCATTCTGTCTAATCACTAGCCTCTCCTCAAGAGTAAAACTGGGAGCACCCAGAAAACAGACACCTAGCTGGATCCCCTGCACCCCACCTTGGACATTGTGCTGTATGAACGAGTGAAATGGGGCATGTGGGGGGGTGGGGGGAGTGAGGTCAGACCACAAATGGGATGGACACCTGTTCATTGGCCATACTGGGCTTCTAACTGCCAGGCAGAACACAGGGTAGAGAGGTGGGCAGAGCAGCCCTGCACAGGTGGCAGGCGAAGCCCACGGAGGTGCACAGTGCCCTGCCTCCTGCCCCACCACATCTCCTGAAGGCTAGGCCCCTGCCGAGGCTTGGAACATGCCACCATCTTACTACAGTTTCCACAGAAACGCCACTTCTAAAAAGATACTTTTTCCTACCAAGCAAACTGCTTCTTAAGTAACAGTGTCCTTCTCTTCCTTTATTTAAACAAGAGTGATATGTGCCAATCACAGGTTTCTGACTTTTAACTGCGTAACAGATTGCCAGGGAAGACCACCTAACCTAGACCAACTGTGCATTGTGGAAAGAAACCAAGGACATTGTGCTTCCTGTCCAGGCCCAGGAGCCCTGAGGCAGGCCCAAGTGCTGGCCTGGGGCTGATGGCATCACTGCCACCTTCCTGCAGGACCCTTATTCAGGGGTCTTTAACCAGCTTAGGTCCCCCCCACCCCCACCAGTCCCCTGGGTCCTGGCGGACACAGACAAGCGTACCTGCTGCCGCTCCACAGGGGTCAGGGTGGGTGAGAGACCGGCCGGCCTGCCGGCGTCCCCGCTGTTCCTGGTCAGTGCGAGGGGCTGCTCCATGAGGCTGGGGAGAGACGCATACAGGTGGCTGCTGTGCAGGCTCACGGCGGATGCCACAGCCCGCTCAATGGGGCTGCGGCTACGCTCCCGGGGGCCTTTGCGGCAGTCTCCGTTAGCAGTCTTGTTCCTGAAAAAGAGGAGTGAGCACTCAGATATGACTGCCCTGCATTTACCAAATGGCAAGGACGACTGGTCACAAGCCAGGCACTTCCCTGAGCAATCATTTTCATTTTTTACCCTGCAGCCTAGGTCACAGAGCTGGCCAGGGAGCCAAGGAACTCGCCCAGGTCAGCCTCGGCTCTGCGTGCTGAGGAGACACCTCTGGGCTCAGTAGCTCTGCAGGGCTGTCCACAAAAAGGCAGAGTTCCCAAATCAACCCCACATGTCTGGAGCCTGGAGCCCCCGCCCCTGTGCTCAAACTAGCTGGGTCTGTGCTTCCTAGGTCCGGGCCTAAGAGTCCACAGGCATTGGCTCCTTCTGTCTTTCCAACAGTCCTAAGCAGGAGATGCTACGATGACTCCTCTCCAGGCTGGACACCAACACAGATCAGCCAAGTGACTGGCCACTGATAAGTGGAGGCGTGTGCTTAGGCCAGTGTGGAGAACGGGCAGCCAGTATGGCTAGGAGCCACCTCAAAGGGCTCAGCGTGACACACATTCAGAGCTTTTGTAGGTGATTTCTTCCCCTTTTATTCTCTGGGTGACATTCACAAGACTTAAAAGCAATCACAGAGTAAAGCTTCCAACCCTTACAACAGCCATGGACGAGAGCATGGCCACTTTAGATCACAGTCCCATGCCTGCCGCACACATCCTGGCAAGCTCCAAAGAACTGGAACACCCAAAAGAGTAATATTGAAGCCAGCTCGTCCGTAACTCCATCTTTCTGTGAAGATTTAACCCAGCACAATTTCCAGGATCAAGGTCTCGGGGTGAAGCCCCAATACTGACATCCTGCAGTGTGGCTGAACTTCACAGACTTCCACCGAAGTGAGTTCTGGTTCCTAAAAACACATTTCATCCTATATCATCACACATTTTCAGTGGTAGGTTTTCTTCTAAATATGAATAAAACTTTCTTGTTTTTTTGAGACAGGGCCTTGCTTTGTAGTCCAGGTTGGCCTTGCTCAAACTCTCAACTCTCCTGCCTCCCAAGTGCTAGGGCACACCACCACAACCCAGCTTAATAAAATGTAATTTCTGAAGAGCCATGCAAATCGCTTCCCTCACAATCTTTACTCTCCCCTTCCTACTCCCCTAGAATGACATTTCCCCAGGTCCCTGTGAACTGTATAGTTCAGGGAAGGGACTGTGAGCTTCTCCGACAAAATCTGCTTGGATTGAATTTAGATTGTGGTTTATTCACTCAGTGTCAACTATGCCCGTTTTGTGACAGTTACAGAGAGGAAGACGCAGGCTTACAATCTGGCAGGGACAGGAAAGCCCAGGGAGTGGTACAGTTCCCAAGAAACTCGGCAGCACAGGCCACAGAGGACTGAAAGGTCCAAGGACAACACCCCCTGGGAGACAAGGAGGCTCGGCTGGAGCTCAGGCCGCTTCTGCCACCATGACACTCCCCTACCTTCACAGCCCTGACTGTGAGCCGCACCACAAAGGAAAGGGAAGCCCAGGGAAGGCAGTGCACATCCAAGGCCACTCCACTGCCAGGCAGAGGTGAGGAGGGGGCAGTGCCATCACCTGGGATCCTGCAGTCCTACATCACCTCCTTGTGCATAAAAGGGCCTCACCTCACGCGTTCACTACCCAAAACACACCAGGGTGGGGACAGTGGATCAAAGACACTGAGAAACAAAAAGCCCGCAGAACTTGCTGGTTAAGTTTAGCAAAACCACCTGTGACTCCCCTTTACATCTCCTCTTCTGCTTCCTAGAGCTCAGACACGAGACACTGTCCTCCACCATCCCCTGGGGAAATCACAGTCCCAGGTGCGCTCAGATACAGACGGGAGCCACACAGTCCTGCCCTGCAAAGACTGAAGACCACTGGACCAGTGGAGGGCTCCATGGCTCCATGAGGGCCTGCTGGTGCCACTGAGCAGGTAGCAGCCTGGCTCCCACTCTGGGAGAAAAACACAGAGGGACTACTATACATCACCCAGGACAGGGGTGATGCCACACTCCCACTCCCACACCAAAAACACGCTCAGAAACCAGCCTGTCCACAGTGTGGGGGAAAGTCGACCAGCTTCCCAGCAGTGAAATCCAGACTTGGTAAAGCCACTTTCCTGTCCCACAGAGGCAATGCCCTTACAATGCCCTCTGCCAGGTCCCAAGGCCCTTACCTAGTCTCCCAACACTGGAGGTTGGGGGCGGGGGTAGACATTTTGTCCATGCTCATTTTAAACAAAGATTCTGGTGCCACACTGCCCACCTGCAGGCAGGACTCACCCACCACAAACAGTGACAGGCTGGCCCTTCCTGATAGCCACACAGGAGTGGACAGTGGATCTGTGTGATGACAGGGGAGCAGGGCCAGGCTGGAACCTCCCAGTCTAATGCCAATGATTTTTTGGTGGGGGGGGGGGTTTATTTGTGATCCTGAGGATGGAACCCAGGGTCTCGTGCATGCAAGGCCCCAGCACCAACACTAAAAGTTAATGAGGTTCCTAAAACATCTACTTAGTGCCACCAAGTGTACACTTAAACATGGTTAAAATGGTGTGCTGCCTGCTGTATGTATTTACCACAATTTTAAGTTAAAAACAAAAACTAAAACCTGTCCCCTTCTCCCATCAGTCCTAACTGGTATTTCTGATGGAAGCTGGGCAGATGGAGCAGACGTGACCTCTGCACCCCCAGGCCCATCCTGTCACCCTCCAGCATCCCTTCTCTGAGCCCTCCCTGGCTCCCAGCATTCCACCCAGCTCCAGAGAGGAAGCAGAGAAGACGTGCAAGTGCCTGTCCCCAACCTCGCCTCACCTGGCTTTCTTAAATGAGCCCTGACCAGACAGTATGCTTTGTAGGGCCAACCCAGCCTGTGCCACCCCGCTGCCATGATGACTCATTGGCTCAAGGAGTCCATTAACACGCAGTGGCACATGGCAGTGCAGTTAGCAGCAGCCGTGGTGGGTGGAAAGGACACTAAAGACATCTCTGAGGAAATCTGGAGGGCACTTCAGCCTTGGGCATGTGTGGTGGGGCAGTGCTGCCTCCTTTCAACATGGTCTCTGCCTTGAGTTGCCCTCCTCCCAACTTACAAGTCCCCCACCCCACACGGAGGAAGGAACGCATCGCAGCCCTTCCCTCAGCCGCTGAGTAGGAGAATTTGTGGCTTCCCAGCCAAACAAGAGGCACTTGGATGTCTCCAGGACATCCTGGCCAGGGCTTGTCACTCCTCTGGCCAATTTTAAGACAGGAGACAGGCAGAGACACCCTCCTGGGTACAAAGCGACAAGCCATGTGTCGCCTTGAGAGGTAAGAGTCAGGAAATGCTGGCCTTCAGACCGTCCCAAAGCCACAGACGACATTAGGGCTGTCTGCTTCAACAGGAACCGTATGTGCCCACAACAGCTGCCACCACAGCCTTGCATCCCTTTGACAACCAGAAGAAAGCCATGTCCCCATCTCCTCCCAAAAGCCAAGGGAGCCAAAGCTGAGTGTGCAGAGCACCGAAGTCAGCTACTTTACCTGTTCCACGTCTGTGTCCTCCCTCATCTGCCCCCGAAGGCAGTCTTTTTGCTCATTCAGATTTCAAAAACTGGCTCCATGCAAGCAAATAACACCTCATTGGCTGTGTCACCCAACAGCTGAGACCCGCAGTCTCAGTGTGAGAGGCACGCAATGTGGGAATGTCCTGTTTCCAGAGCAGAGACCATCAAAAACCGGAGTGAACTCCTTACGTTGATGATCTTTGTGACTCTGTCACTGACCAGATGCTACAGGCCTGAGCACCTTATTCTCACTAATTCCAACAAAGCAAGCATCATGTGCACTGTACGGACAAACACTGAGGTTCCGCAGCTTGTCGAAGGCTGCCAAACTAGCTTAGTGCCAGGATTTCAACTTCTATCTCACCCGCGGGTGGGAGGAGGTGTCAGTCTTTTTACACACGTATTTTTATTCCACTTTCCTCTGTGGGTTGCCTTTAATTTATGGGTGGTACCTTAAAAGATGTTACTGTTTAAACGCTAGTACCTGTGGATGTTTGGAAATGGGGTCTTTACAGACGATCTAGTTAAATGAGGTCATTGGGCTCTAAGCCAGTACAAATGCTGTCATACCTACCATTTGGGGGGGTGTGGATAAGGTGACAGACACATATAGAGGGGAGATGTCGTGAAGACACGGAGAACACACCATCTGCAAGCCAGGGAATGGCTACGTCAACCACAAGTTAAAACGGGCCCTCCACACGGACTCAGAAGGAACCAGCCCTGACCACACTTTGGTCTCGGACTGTGGTCTCCAAAACTGAGAGACAGGTTTCTGATTCAGTCTCTCACCACAGAACAGTGTTTTAGTCAACAAGGGACCACGTGGTGGCAGTGGTTCCATAGACTATGATGCTTGGCGACATGGCACAGGCGTCACCCCCACGTCTGAGGGGTGATGAAAGCATGCTGAAGGAGACTGTGGTCACATGTGCGTGACGTGTGATAATACCCACCTCGTTACTGCTTAGTGGGTTTATTTTACTTTTCAGGCCTGTGTTCAGTGTATACTTTCGACTTACATTTTTTTTTTGCTGGCTCTCGGATTTGAACTCAGGCCTCAGGCTTGCTAGGCAGGCGCTCTACCACTTACGCCACTTGCCTGCCCCTTTTTGTGATGAGTTTTTTCGATATAGGGTCTCACGAACGATGTGCCCGGGGCTGACTTCGGAACCACGATCCTCCTGATTTCTGTCTCCTGAAAGTAGCTGACACCAGCACCTGACTACTGCCATCTTTAAAAGTTAACTGTCCACAGCCTCAGCCAGGCCCTTCAGGGGAGACCCAAAGGCATGGTTATCATAGGTGACAGCTCAAGGGACAAGATGTGGAGCTGGAAGGTGATACTGCTGATCCTGACCTGTGTAGGCCTCAGTGTGTGTGTGTCTTTTAACAAAAAACTTTAAAAGTTTTTTCTAAAAAAGCTTATGAAATAAGGAAGCAATTTGTATTCAGCTG